CGTATGTTGGTACGAAAAAAATGAACTCACTATATAGTTGAAAGATGGCTGGATAAAAAAAATTAAAATGTACTATGGACTCTAATATGGAATCTCAACCATTAACTTTTCAAAACAAATAGACAAGATGCATGGCCCTACACCAGAAGGAAATTTACTGATATTTCATATTTTTTGCTTTTTATTAACGCTGCATATACTGCAAAGGTCACGTAAACATAATTGTGGGCGATCAGTTTTTATATTACCTTTTTTTTTTGGTCAATGTGAAAAAAGATGAAAAATACATCTTTCACTAAAACTCAACAAAACAGGATGTAACAATCTTCCGTTTATATGAGCTCATGTATCTCTATGTGTTATCTCCAAGTTGAGACTATAATGTTTGTACTGATAGAGGGCGCTAGATACACCCTCTAATTTGGCCCAGTGAGCAAGGCAAAAGTTTGGCCCAGGATATCACCGTTTGAGATGTTATTATTTATGACTTCTTCACTTCACATAGCAACAAAAATGACACAAAAAATTAACATTTTTATGTGTTGTATGGAAACAATATCATAATATCATACAATAACGTTTTTTTTAATGAGTCTTTTAGTTGTTTCTTAAACATATTCTTCATTGGACTCGTTCGAATAAATATGAATTGAATTGAATTGAATTTCATAATTAAAGCAATTTGATAAAAGTTTACTTTAAAAAAAGGGTAACGTATGCAATTGATATAATGTAGGACCTGTATGAGCTTAGTGTGCGGCTCTTGAACATAGTCGAACAGTTATCTTTTGGAGAAGATAGAAACAATTTTTTGATCTTTATTTTTTAATATGTGTACTTTGATTTATATAATATTCCAATCCTACGTCTAGAGAAGTAAGCACTAGTATTATAATTCAGGTACGGATCCACTGTAATACCTAATCAATAAATTGAGTGCTTTCTTTATTTTATATTGAAATTCCATCAATCTCTATCGAAGTCGAGGCATTGTCATGTTTAAAATGTATGTAATTAGTTTTTACTCAGGTTTAGGAGTAAATTGTTACTTCTGAAAAACGAGGTACGAGACGGTAATGATAATGATAATGAGCTCGTCAATGGTTTTTATTAACCAGTGTAGCCTTTTAGGGGCATAGCAGCAGAGAACCATATACTTTAACAGAAATCATGACAAATACTGTCTTATTTTGCACATCTGCATGAGCTAAGTTGAGTTGCTATAACAATATGTACTAGATTTAAATTACGTTTCACCCCTTCAAATAAATATATCAAGGAGGTCTTCATCCTTAATAAGTGCGATAACACATAAACATACAGAAAATTAAGTAGCATTTATTATACCAAACTGGTATGTATTCGATGAATATGTGTGGGCCACGTTTTTACAACAATTTCAAGTATCAACTTATTATCAATATACATGTAGAGGTCTATTTTATATACGCATATAATTATATACATTATATTTTTTTCTTATACATATTTTGTTTGTATATGTATACATTAAGCATGAAAGTTCCGTTTCCAATACAATATTCATACTGTAAAACGTTGGTTCTCCTTGCTTGTTATGGTAAGATCTGTCATATGGTTTGTACTTTCACAGAACGGCTTAGTTTTTATCCAAAAAGGTATATGATTGAACTACACATTTCTTTTCTTCGGCAGAATTTTACCAGATAGATTCCGTGATTTGGCTTTGAATACTAAGCTAACTTTCTGAATACTTGAAAAGTTGTACAAATGTTATATAACAGAATTCCTTAAAGTGTGCAAATAGCATTAAGTATATTTGGCATTCTATTGATAACCGTGAAGTACAATTCGAAGAGGGTCCCTCCCTTACCATGAAGGTCCCCCTAATTTATTATTTTATAAAAATAAAAATTGAATGAAGAAACCTGTCCAATTGCATCGTTCATAACAAGGTTGCACATCATGGTCGGTATGGGTACATGGACCTCTTGAGGTCACATCTTAATTAGAACATGCTTTCCATTCAATCGTGAGTAATATCAGGGAGATGAGACTATCCTCCCTGATAATATCGAGTGGAAAGGGGTATATTGTAAAGTGATGCAATATGTTATCATCTTAAACATGTCTGTTATTTACCCCAGAAAAGAAACGTGTAGACACGATGATGTTTACAAAGTGTAATTAAATATTTCCGAAATGTTCTTAAGAACTCTATCTTATATATGCACCGTACCTTAAGGATCATCAAAATAATAATTTTCAAAAGTATAAATGGTTTTCCCGTTTCATTGATTGCCACTTTACCAGTTGAAAAGATGACTACTACCGCACAAACGCTTATTTTATGGGGCGCATACCTCATTCGAATATTAATTTTCTTTTGAATTATGTTTGTGTGGTCTCCTCACTGCCTAGCACCTGGGAATAATGCCAACACTATTCGACTTGTACTTCATTGTTATTAATAGAAATCAAGTCATACCTAATGATGCATAATTTAGGAATCATATGGCATTGCCTCAGGTTCATGACATGAAGAGGACTTTAAGGTGTGCGTGAAGCTGTTCGCCTCACTTCACCTGCACATTTTCTATACAGTATTATGTTTCTCTTCGTTGAATAAACAGTTTTTCTATACACTCAGAGCAAGCAGTGTTGTGACGAGCACAAATCAACCGTGAATGATGTGACGTCATACTTGCATGAGAACTAAAGACTTAATTTTAAAGCCATGACTTGCAATGTATACTTAACATTTTCCATACGCTAAGATATATACTAGTAGTACATGTCATGAACTTTGTTGTGAGAAAAACCGAAGGTTCTTGAGCAACAAACTACTCTAAAAGAAAGCAACAAATCATTGAAGCAGACTGGTGAAATTTAAAATAAATTGGACAAAGAACAAGAAAGTTAAGAATTTTTGAAATTCGTAATCAATATACATACACTGTCGCTCATAAAGGTGGAATATTTTAGTTTTACCCCAATTTATGGAATTATTTATAAATTATTTAAAAATAATAGATCTAGATAATAGTATACATTCTCAGATTTTATTGAATAATGATTTGCCAATGTGTGTTTTGCGGGACTGCTAAAGCATGTGTATGCTACTATGCTTATTAACTAGGGGACCTACGCCCTCAAGTCATAAATGACAGTAATGAGGATTAATGCCCCACAAAAGGGCACTAATATAGCACATCGACACGGTTTTGATCCTGGGCCTCACAGTTACGAGGCCATTGTTTTGTCACTGAACCATGACTGTACGTAGCGGGGGCTAGGGTAGGGGGCAGCTTCCTTAAATGAATAAAAAACACAGAAAATGCAATAAATTTTCAATAATTCATTGCATTTTACCCCGGTCCCCAACATAAAAAAATCCTCTGGGCGGCCATGCATTATGGCTCAAGGCATGGGCACACAGGGGGGGGGGGGGGGGTTGGGGGGTTAAACCCCCCCTTTGGTATTTTTATGTGTGTAAAGCCCCCCCCCCCCCCATCACCTTCCTAAACCCCCCCCCCCCCCTTTGGATTTTTTTTTAATTAAAAAAAAAAAAATGTTCCCATGGCTGACCTAAAAAAGGTGACCTTACCCCCCCCCCCCCCCCTTCCCCCCCAACGGAGCCAAATATCAAATTTTCAAATTTCGAGACCAAAAAAAAAAAGTGTCCTCTTACCCCCAACAACAATTTCCCGATTGAAAATATTTCTGTGATATGAATCCGTATCTGAAATAGTTGGTCCGTGGGCTTAATAAGGGGAGACTTGATCCCAATCATCAGGGGCATCCCATTATCTCATCCCGCCTATATCTTGTTATCAAGTTTGATTATTTTGATATTTGTACCTTTACTATGGAATAGATTTCAAAATAAGAAATGTGTTTCTGTGTATGTATGTTTGTTTGTTTTGTACTGTACATAATACTTCATAATGACAAAGTTTGGTGGATGGGGTAGATAAGGTCAAATCAAACTGAACTTGGGGTCCGTTAAAGCCTAATGCCCAAGTCACACTAGATGTACGACCGATTGCCCACTTCTAACAAACAAGTAAAACCTGCCAGGATCGACAACCAATGCATGATTTTAAAGTGGGGGATGGTTACAACATAAAACCCTCTTGCCCAGTCATCCTGGCAGAAAATACAATGAGTAGGGAATCATTAGAAGGTATAAAGTTACTCTTTACCATAGGCAAAGAATAGATTTGAAGGTCACATTGGTTATGACTTTCTAATCATAAGGTATACAAGTTAAGTATACTTCTAATTTACTTTCACTTTCACACTTCTCTCTCTCTCTCTCTCACACTCTTCTTTGCTCACAACGCCCCAATTAATTTAAATGTAATGCTGTCATCAGAGGGTGTCCTTGCAAGCTGTTGCTCAGAGTCCATGTATGTACATGTAGATTTAAAGGCACATGCTGCTTTGTTTCACATAATACTAAGTGCATTTTTATAACACTTATAGCAGTGGAAATATTTGTTGCAATTAGTGGGACATTCAATCCGATTTTTCCATATAATTACAGTACTGTATTCCCTAGTTTGTGTTAAACTTCCCATAAAGGCCAATAGAACATTTTTGAAAAGTAATCAAATTTAATTATCCTGTTACAAATAATGGTATTTCAATAGTCAGAATGCAAATTGCATACATTAATTGTTGCTACGTAGGACAAAAAAATAAAGCTTGTCCTACCTGACAATATGAAATGTATGCAATTCGCATTCTATTGAAATACTATTATTCGTTAAAGGTGAATGATATAATTTGTAACCAGGCACTTGATTACATTACAAAAAAGGTCTATCAATTTAAATCAGGCCTAGAATGAGGAATAAGAAAAAGAAAAGAATTGGCCTATCCTCATTTTGATCAAAAAGCCTGAACCCCATGTCGGGTCTAAATTTGAGTAGAATATGGGCTATACATTAAACATGATTCCATGCAACAACTTTCATTCAACTAGATACAACAGGATTATCAATGATTCTATAATGTCATTGTTTCAATGTTGCTATTTAATAACTGGAAATTTGTGAGAATCAGATTCAGTATAAACAAGAAAAGTGCAGGATATGTATTGGGTCAAAATTTATTCTATTATGACATACACCATTATGCAAAGAAAACATGACTGTAATACATGTAGCCTACTCCATATAATTTCTAATTTGAATTCTCTAAATTTTAAATTCTGACACATATATGGTCTAGGTCTATCCTCAATAGTGATTTTCTGAACTAATTTTGGGCTGAAGGAAAAATTATGGCAGATATCTGCACAGAAGTAAAGAAAACATAATTTCAGGGCACTTATGAGGCCCCCCCCCCCCCCTCATTTCATCCAAAATATGTTTACCCAGTGACAAGCTATTACCTAACCTATTATATATCATTGCATCTAAATAGAATGCATATTACATACCATTAAATTGTTGCTAGGTTGGACAAACATTATGCCTTGTCCTACCCAACAACAGGTTTTTTATACAATTTGCATTCTGACAAATAACATACAACTATTTGACACAGGCTAATGTGAACTATTTTATAACGAGGCACTAAGGAAAGACATATACGTGCATTGCATTTGATTAAACACAAAATTAGCTACCGGTATTTGGTAACCCAACATGTTGTAACACTGTTACAGATACTCTTAATGTTTGCTACTGGTAGTTCTATGGGCTATTTGATCTAGATTGGGCAAATAAGTCAAAGGAACATGATGAACTTGTAAAAGAGAATAAGAAAGGTGTTATGACTGGATGCTCTTTTTTGTTGCAAATGCTGCGTACCATACAAGGCCAGCAATTCCTGTAGCAATGATCTCTGTGCTGACCCATGGTCCTTTGGATACGCCCTGATGAGAAGAGAATGGGAAACAAAATCAAATCAATCAATCAATCAATAAAATAATTATCAAGGAACATAGCAAAAAACACAAGTTGTCTTGCCTGTTTCATGCAACAGACCATTGGACAACATTACCAAGTAGGCTGCCTTATAACTCTCAGCAGCATACCCATACCCCAATGACCTCAAATAAAAAGGTTCCATAGTCCATCGTCCAAGCATCAAACCATCAAAATCACTTCAAGATCTATCAACCTGTGTATCTAAATTCAAACCTGAAGTATACCAACACACTGTAACCTCTAATGACCATATCTCTCAGGAAATATGAAAGAAAACTTTTGTCTTTTTTCCTGTGAGGTTTTTATCATTAAATGTTAATACATAGACTAGTAGAAACAAATAAATGCAACTGCATCTCCAATATGACTCCACCTTCTTGTATCTTCATTTGATCTTTAGACCTTTAACATCTCATCTGACCTCACAAACCCAATTTTTTTTTCATTTAACATTTTCATTTAACATTTTCAATTTCATGCTCACACAAACATGTAAATGAGTCCAATTTGGCCTAAGTTGGTTCAAAGAAATCACGTATTTGAGATGATGGAGTGACAAGATGGCTGCATCGACGGCTCTGGCTATACAATAGCCAATCATTATGCAACACCATATCCATTATATGCAGTTCAATGAATATTTGGCAAGTCCCATGGGAGAATGGCTAGCATGGAAGCTGCACATTTGGAGGGATCATGTTTTGGGGGGAGCTTTTTCCCTATTTGTATTACTATTATGATTATCATTATATGAGAAACAATACAGTTAATGAAGCGATGTTATTTAAAAACGGATTGCTTCTAAAATGACCTCAAATTACAAATATAATCAGAGCTACCTTGTGATTAACTAAATTTCTTTTCATTGTGTTGATAAAAAAATCAATCAATTAATTTATACTACGGTCCACCTTTCCAAATAACCTTGACATTTCCCCTGCTGCAATCACATGACAAGTCTACCAGAACTCAACTTTATTTTACAATACTTACTGGATGATCCACAGGAACGGTGATCAAAGGTTTCACTTTAGATTCTTCTCCTGTCCTCAGAGCCTATTATAGGTAAAAATTTACAAGTGGTAATATAAGATTTAAATGTTTCTTTTAAAGCCCGTCTGCACTAGTTTGGCCAAGGGGAATTAGACCTCCCTGCAAAGTCACTGTCAGGTGGTTATCTCATCAAATCAGCTCTCAATCAAAATAAGAAAAAGGAGATCATGGGGAAACAACGGGCACCGATTAGGCATTGTTTGCTATATAGAGGGCGAAAGTAGCTTTAAGTAGTACAGTGGGGCTTTATAGAATGATGAAGGTGCTGGTAAGTGGTATTCCCTTTTAATTGCAAAAAAATTCTGACTTCTTCTGCACTTCATACACAGAAGAAAATAGGCATACAAATCTCATTCAAACATATATATATAGCAATATCCTAAATTTCTTTACAACCAAATAAAGTATCCATGTCTCGGACATTAATTGATCAAATGTAAGACAGCTTTTCAATAAAAAAAAATATATGTTACTAATTAATTGAACAAGGCTTTAAATTTCGAAAAATCTGTCATTAGAGGTTGCTAGTTATTTGTCACAACACAGTCTTGGAGGTAAATGTAAACATATGACCTCAAATAACACTTAACCAATAGCATATGACCTGCAGCACCATAATAAGAAGGTTCCCCTGAACGCATCTTAAACCCACCCTTGGTCACAACAGAATTCAGGGTTACCAAGCTATTTGCCACAAGACAGTCTTGCCGGTAGTCTTTAACATTTGTGACGAATGACGGACAATGAACTGATATCATTTGGAGCTCTTAGTCTTAGCTCCTTCGAATTACCAGTAAAATAAGAAATACACCATTGAGGTGCAACTGAGAATGATTTCAAAAACATTTTTTAATCATGTTCTTTACCATTACAAAATGTTACTGCTCATTTAAGTTCTAACTTTTCAATTGGTATCAATACCAGAACCTCTGAACTAATTTTTAGGAAATGTACTATATTTTGTGCCCTTACCTTTCTGAGTGCACTAAAACCTTCTTCATCATAGATGCAAACACTGTAAGTACCAGATGGTGCCTTCTTGTGTTCCGCTGTCCAGCTCACCTAATACAACAATGAAAACATATCAAATAATACATGAGCACCAACAGAATACATGATATATTCATCTCCAAACACTTGCTCAAATTTAGGTATTAAAATACTATAATAATGAATTTCCTTGTTAAAGTTTATAAATACATTGGATACGTAAGCATGCAGCTTATCACTACTAGGTTTTGATGTGTACCTTAGACCTCTTATGCCCCAAATCTAATCATTTGATCGTTGCATGCTTATACATACTCCATCTAATTTTGGTTAAAATCTGTTTAAAGATTCTCAAGTTATTGTGGTAGCGTAAAGCAGGAGGGATATACGGACAACCCCAAAACATAATGCCTCTGACACTACTGTCCCTTAGGCGGCAGAAGCAAATTTATGTAAATGTAAAAAAGAAAGAGGTAAAAGTAAAAGAAATAAAATTAAGTAAATGTTTTGCAAATCAAGTTCCTAAAGATTTCATTGGAATTGAATATTGTTAAAGGTATTACAAAGTTTTGGAAAATTTAAAAAAATGGGTGGATAGTGATTCTTTACAATTTTGATATATTTGGATGCCCCTGTGGATGTATTACAAACACCAGAAATTTTAGCCCCTAAAACACTTCTGCTTTCGAGAAAAATTGAAAATAAAGATTTACCGGTGCTCCCGGTAAATGTTGATAAATTTCAAATAGCTCCTACGGCCGTACAATGGTAGCTGCGACCATGAAAATCTCAGAGTATGTAGTTGTGATATATCATTTCCGAACGAGAATAATTAATCAGTCGATTTTAGCCAATAAACATTGTTTTATAGCTTAATTAATATCTTGACCTTGAGAGGGAGCTATTCAACATAAAGTGTTTATTATTTACAATTTCATAATTTTAGAGTAGATTTAGACCGCGACAACGATCACTGAATATTGTAGGATCGTATTATGCTTCCAATATGTTCATTTGAACCAAATTCATGACCCCATACCAAAACTTTGTATTACCTTTAATAGAGTCAATCACTCTCCTTGTCTTTTGATGATGGAAAAAATAATCTCTTCCAATATTGTTGTCCCATTGAATTGCATAACATGTAATAATCATTAAGCGGCAGCAAATCTTTTGCCAGAAAAACTACAAGAATGTACCGGTACTACTACTATGTGGGCATTGCCGATGTTCTTTAAAATGAAATGACCCAACCAGTGGTGTAGTACAGTCCCCAAGCAACCTCCCCCCCCCCCCCCCCCCCCCAAACCAGAAATGATTTATTTGATTCATTTTGATAATAGAGCATGTTTTTTCTTCATTACAAAATATTAACTCAGCTGCACTTTTACATGTGTGTCCCTGGCAGTTTTACCTCCTACATTTTTAACTCTAGACATCTTAACACCAAACCAAACATGGCTTTTGCAGATCAGGAAGATGGATACCATCTCACAAGGTTAAATTTCATGGCACAGTTCTCCAATAAAAAGTTTTTTATCATTCAAAAATATCTGCTGATGCATTCCTGATTTTAAAATTTAAAGTAAAATTTCTTTCCTTCAAACATATTTAAACCGGTAGTCATGCTCATTATGGCAAGGCAATCATAAACTGTGATTACGACCACACATGACCATACCACCCATACACAAATAAATCTATTTCACAAAGGAAGGTAGCGGTGGATGGCAGACAGGTTGTAAATTATGTGTCGGTCCCAGCAATAGCTACATTGGTTCATATTCTAATAATTCAGTTAATACTTGTCCCTGGGTCTAAAATCATGTTGAACAGAAGAAAAACATGGACCTCAGATTAAATTTGAATAATAGACTAAACCCAGCATCGGGTCTAAATTTTAGTACAATATGGACACCAATGTTTTTGCACATTCAAACACATTGTATTTGTCATGCCCTCCATGATGAGTTTGAAAAAGTGTTATGTACTCGTATGAATGCTTGAAACTGAAAAGTCTATCATTGTGGATACATGGCATTATAGAAAGATTAAAGGAGAATTTACCATAATTTTTTAAAGAAAAATTTGCTGAGATTACACATACATAGAGAACCACAATGTACATGTGTTGTCAATATTTGCCTATGGTTTAAAAAAAGGTTATTAAAACAAGGACAGATGTAAGAAGATTACTTGAAGTAAATGTTACCTGATACTTGTTATCTCCTGACCGTGACACTGGGATCTGCTTTCCATCCACCTCTGCATTCAAGAAAATATTCTGAAAAATAGAAATGTATAAAACATTTACATGCTCTTTTCTGGTATAAAAGTATTTATTTCCCCAAGCATAATATAATCCTTGACTTTTGATCAGACAATATGGCCCTAATTCACAAAGGAGGTTTGTCGACAAACTTAAGTTTTCGTGCGTCATATGACGCAAGGAGTAGATGACGGGTTCAAATCCTTCTGGTTCCAAGATTTTTGGGGACTTATTTTCAATTACAAACCTTCTTTGTGAATTCGGGCCTATAAGGGTGAACATTTTAAGTAATGGGACTACATGTATGTGAGTGCCTTTTGAAGAACTCCTATTATTCCACAACGTCAAGAGAACTACCAGTACCATACTCTTTTTTCAAATAAATATCTTTATAACAATCCACTCAATGGAAACACTGCTTGATAGATGTCAATATTACATCAATGTATATGTATTTTAAGCAAATATACATGTAACATCAAAAGTTCAACACAAAGAAGTGTCAGTTATTATATATGAAGGTATTTATAGAATAAGATAAATTGCTTGTTGTTACAATAACATCCGCCTATCCAGAGTGTCTCGCATGACATTTAAAGAAAAAATTCTACTTAATTTTGGAACATTACTTGACTTGCAAGTGCACATTATGATTTTTGTAATGTAATGATAACAAAAAATAGAGTATCCATTTGAATAGCAGTACAATAGGCTCCGGTGATGGGTGTATGAGCACAGCAGTTGCGTAATGCTTGGGTACGGAGAATTTTGATTTTGCCTCTGTGGTTAAAGGGGCACGTTCCCGCCATTGTAGTTATCGCTGCTCTAGTCATCGCCATCTTGGTTCCGAAGATTGACTTCTAATTTGCATACAGCTGTCAATCAAAGTACGCACGACCTGGCCTGCCTTCGTCAAGCCAGCTGATCGCTGCCGATCCTGACGTCACGAAAGTGGGCGGAAACAGCAGCCAAATCTTAGAACCGAACTGCCATTGATATTACTTCGGCACATGTATGCGACAATCGGCATTGTGCGGGCATTCGGAACATACCATCTGCGTAAGAGCCGTATTCTGTTGGTGTCAATAGGCAGCTAGCACCGTCCGCCAGCGGATACGTATTTTTAACGCCCTCTGGAATACGGGGAACATGCCACTTTAAAATGTTAATCATACAATTAATGATAATTTTCAATGGCTTTTCTTTTTTAGGTTCAAATCCAGCTATGGTTTTCAAGAAGAAAAAGAAAATTTGCAACTACATGTACTACCACTTTTTGGGCGCTAGGCCCCCGATTGGATGAACGTACCCCATTTTAACAACTTTTGATCTCCCTTGCCTAAGAATGATTCTAGTCTACTCCATGGTTACAGCGAAGATGTCTGCCAGTTCACTAGTTGATGGTTATAGTAAGTCCTGTTCCTCTGTACTTTATAATTATTCATTTAAGGAATGTCTTTTTAAGAGCCCCTAAAGTAGCTACTCAGCAAGGAGTAGATGAATTGTTTTCAATTACAAGATGAAGCATGAGATCAATATCAACTGGGTGCAAGCCAAAAATTTCTTTACAACAATTGAACTTGTTTATGTTTTCCAATTCAAAGCAACACATCTACGGCTAGAAAAATATTTCAGAATCTACTCAAGCCAGTTCCTCTCAATGCAATTCTAAATAATTCCAGAGCTCAAGATCTGCTTAAGCTCACTTTCATCCAAGTATACAGTGCAGCTTCTGTACTGAACTGCTTACATAGGCACTTGCACTTACCGAGATTTTATTCTTGCAGGACAGCTGAAATTCTACCAGAAACACAGTCTCTGTCGAAAGAGCCCCATCTGTGGTTGTGTATGTTTTGCTATTAAAACTTGCACCAATGCAGCTTTCAGCTAAAAACACAAAAGACACAAAAAGTAATTGATTAGTGAAAATGCCCACAAGGATCACATATATCTGGTCTTTTCCCCCAAAATCCCATTTTGATAGCTTCTGTAAAATTAATTACACACTGAGATGAATGACAATGCATCATAAAAACCAATATAGGTGATAGTGAAATTTACATCTTCTTTTTTTGCGAGAGAAAAAAATATCATGATTTATACAAAAATCCAAAAAATCTGGAAAATAATGAAATTGAATCAACCATGAACCAGATCTTAGGTGCCCATCTTCACATCATTAAAACTCACATAAAAATGTGTTCTCTCTTCATTCCTCAACTATAAAGTTAGCAATGTTTTTCCTAGGTCCAATACTTCTTCTCATACTTTCTTGAAGATTTTGATTTTGTGGCTGTCCAAGAAATTGGCTACTACAACACAACTTCCATAAAGTAGCATCTTTTAGTCGGTCACCTTGTCTGAGCCAAATCAATTATCAGCAGCTTTTCATCATTACTCTTTTTTAAAACAATAATATAAAAATTGAATTGAATTGAAAACAAAACAAGAGAGGTGCGGCCGTGCAGGGGCTTTATGCTTCCCTAAAAATTAAAGTAGGAACCCATAGTCTCTACAGTGGCCTCCATCTTACACAATCCATTATGCCAGATGATGGGAAAAGAAAATTATATAGACCTAGGCTACATCATTTCTTTGAATGGTCTATTAAAGGAGTAATTTTCTCATTTCTTCTTCTACTTCTTCTTCTTCTTCTTCGCTATATGTACAGGCCACCTTCGGGTGTATTCTCGTACTGATGTACATGTAGGTGCTGTGCAGGTGTATATATAGTGACTCAATAAAAGGCCTACAAAAAAATATGTGCAGCTAAAACAGGGCCGTCAACCCTCCCGCATTTGGAGGGAGTCTCACGCCACCACGCTCATTCTCCCGCCGCCCCAAAAGCTCGTGGCGGGAGACTCTCTTTACCACGCCTTCCTCCCGCTCTCCCGCCAACGATGTAGAATCTCCCGGTTTATGAAAAAACCTCCCGCCAAACCGTACCGTATACCCCCAAAAAATATGAAAAATGTGCTCTAATCCCCCCCCCCCCCCCCCCCCCCCATTACGCTGGTTCGTCTGAAGAAAAAAAAATCCCTCCAAGCAGCTCCCCAAAGTTGACAGCACTGGCTAAAAAGACATCTGTAGCTTAACGGATACAGTGTATTGATCACCCCCCAAAAACTCCCATCATGCCAGTTTCTGCTGATCTCACTAGTCTATGCCCACTAATAATCTCACCGCAACAATCAGCAAATAATGACTATGAAGAAAAAATGCGTGCCTACATTTAATCCAAAATGGTGGCTTGCATGTTTTGCCTCTTCTCATAGACTAATTTCAGTCGAAAACGGTGTGTGTTAGTTGATAAACATAGTTTATTGACGATAATACTAGTGTTCATCTCAATTATTGGACAAATGGCGCGCCATAGCTAGGCAAATTCATGCAAAAAAATATATTCAAAAAATTGACTTGAAAACACATCAGACAACTAGTCTGAACCGAGTCAGGAGCAGATTTGAAAAAATTATATTTTTAAATGTTGTAAAACCAAAGATATAAGAAGAAAACTGACCAAGTATCTGTACTAAAAATCGTACATGTAAAATTGGTCGTACACATTCGACAGCTCTAAATGACGCGCACGGTTGCGTTACGTGCATTCTCGAATCCAAAATCATACCTCACACACACACTCTCACCATACCGCGAATGGTCCGTCGTGGGGAGCTAGCCGGCTGAGAGTTTGCAGCGATACCAACGCAGCTTCAGAGCTCCGCAGCGCGCCATTTTAGCGGGACTCGGAAAGGTTCGCGGTGGGAAGGCAGCGGCCTAGCTTTTTGCCCAAACAACGCTAGATCGGCTGCTGGCAAAATGAAAATAACTACGATCGAGAACATCGTCGGTTTCTTAACTTTTCAGTGAGATAATTCTGAATTCTAATTGAGACTATATAATAAATTAAATCGACAAAGAAACCTCGGTAGAACTCTTATAACTATACAAAAGCTTGTTTATTTCTTCATTTGACATTTTGTTTTTGACCATTTTTTCGTGCGCGAGTCAATGCAAACTATGTATTACCAAACTTTCAACACGCAAGGAACGGGGAACACTCGCGGACCTCGTATCAAATTCGTTGCAAAAAAAAAAATCAAGGGTGATTTTGAAGCAGTGAAGAATATTGGCGCTGCAATGCGCAGAAATATACTTGAAAGAAACTTAAAAAATCATACCTGAATTTTCAGAAAATCGTATTTGTATTAGTGTACCTAGATGTGAATTGTTTATAACTCAGATTTTATGAAAATTTGTCGGGAAAAAATGTCAATTTTTTCCGTTTGGTGGTCATTTCTAGGCTAATATTTTAAAAGTTACTTCAGTAATGGTCCCGATGTTTCTCTTATCATACTCGCATGTTATTCCTACATAGATTAAACATAGGATGGTTAAGGGTAAGACCGGATAACATTATAAAAAAGATATATCCTTCCAACCTCCCATATCCAAGTTTTGGGCTGATTATTGCCGACCCACCGCAGCAAGGCCATTCAGATTTTCGTACGCGACCGAAGCGCCCTCTAGTGCCCCATGAATGTGCCTACCATAGCAAGCGTGTACGTATGATTACAACGTATCACGTATGAGCCTGAGGGCCACTTATTTTAACACGTACGGTACGTAACATTAGAAAATGGAGGAACAGAGTTGAGAACGATGGACCTAATCGGCAGAAGTCTTGCTAGAATTACCGAAAACTCAAGTAAAATTCATAAACGAAACTCCAAGTCAAACTGGTAAATTTTATTTGTTTGTTATTTTTCATCAATAATGAGTGGTTAACTATGATAAAAGTTTAGTACAGTAGCTGCAGCAGGTTTTACAAAATATTGTGTGAATGTACTGTAGTACAGTGTTGCCTCTTTTACTACACAGCCAGGATAGTGATGCAGCTATGCATGTTATGTGTGAGCCAGCCAGCTCCAGTGCCAGGATTACAATGCTGCTATGTGCATGTGTGGGACTGAACCGCTCGGTGACAAATTGTGGCCTCTGCTCTGGTTGACTAATAAGTACAAAACACAACTCCTAAACAAATAAATATAAATAATGATAAACTTCCTACAGATTAATATTTACCTAGACTGAAATGTGGTGCAAATACAGCGAGGAAAACACACACGAAGGTCGCCTGTAGTATAGATGCCATGTCTGATGTGATGTTGAAAGGAAATTGCCACGTCCAAAAGACCTAGCAAGTGATAAGCCAGCGACCACTAAAAAAAAGCCACCACAAATATGGGTCATAGTGTCTCCAAAACGTCCAATCGAAAAGGAAAAAGAAAATTTTGCAAGTCTAGGATTGATATGAATTTGATATTGATTTATTTCGTCCACAATGCAATTTGGAAATATGCTTCCCGCCAGCATTACAATAATACAAGAAACAGAGTACAATAATATGAATTATGTGAAACAATTAAGCAAACGTTTTCAAAGCAATCAAAATCTCGTATCATAGAAATAATGTTTACAACATCCAAAACTGTTGAACTTTTCTTATTAGATGATTGTTAATGTGATCGTTTATGAGAGTTAGTTTATCTGACAAAAAGGAGTATTCTGACTTACGTCATGGGCTGAAATAGCGCCATCTACGCTTTCCTAATTCCGACATAGCAGTAGCAACGAATTGGATGTTCGCACCGAAATCTTGTCCTAAATTACACCTGTTATTGATACGAAGCCAACCCGTTTGCAACAATAAGGAGGCAAGAAGGTTCGTTAATTCGATATATTAATGTATAACGAGTATAAATAGTATAAATAATGAGAAATGATGATATGAATGTAATCTAATATGCTTAAGTGATAATGAATGGTGTGTGTAGTATTAGTGTATGCACGGACACGTATGATACCGTATACGGCTGTAGTGGACGTTATATATATGCAAATTAGATGCACGTAAAACAGGTATACGATATATACGATATAGAGTGTAAGCTAGGGTGCTACGTAAGGCAATGTTAATTGTATGCACGTAAATAGGTATACGATATTAACGATACGAATGACGTGTCCGCTATAAGAAGGACGCAGTCATTGATATGCGTTATGCTAATAAGTCTTTGTGATTCAAACTATCTACCACGAATATTGGTCACGTGACTTGAGTGAAGGTATTGTTTATAGATAATTGCATATACACAAATGATAAGAGACAAAGAGAAGAAATTCATTTGTTATTAATCACTGCATTTAATAGGCGAACTGATGATATTATTTATACACATGTATTCGAAAATGCCTGTATGAACAATTACTTATAATCTGTTCTTTTTCTTTATCATGTTTTGTTCATACAGTTTTCACGGAGCAAGTGTGATGGAATTAGTTGACATAGAATAAATTAGCAAGTCAACCCTACTACGACTTTTCATTGACTGTTTCTTCAGTGAAAACTTCACTTCACTACGACTTGCAACCTGCGATGACGTCGTGATTCAGATTACGTGATTTGGTACAAGATGTCGGAAGTGGACATGATGGGGGACAAGGAGAAGGAAAACCCTGTTGCTGAAGCTGTGGACACAAGGTCAAAGCGAGAAGTCAAACTCACTGAGAAAGGTCTGCAGTATCAAGCTGAAACAAAAGGGAAGGAATTTAAGAGATCCATTAGTGCTTGGCGTAGAGCGTCGAATAAGTTAAGAGCTACCTTGAGCGACATCAGTGATGTCAAAGTTATTCGACAAGGTAGGGACGCTCTGCAGCAGGTGATGGACAACGCCATATCCGCTCAAGAAGACCTACAGATTCTATTGGAGTTGGCAGGAATCGACGATGACAGCCATGAAAGGCTCGACAACATCGAACAAGAACACTCAGAGCTGATGAAAGGAGTACAAGAACACCTCCTCGAACAAGAATCGTCAAGAAAATCTAAAGTTTCATCGAAAAGACTATCATCCTGTCAAAAATGGGTGAATGAATGCTCGTTTGAAAGCCAGGATGATGTGCCGACTAAAGATGTGCCGACCAAAGATGTGCCAACTGAAGATGTTCCGACTACAGAATTGCCGACTAAAGAACCCTTGTTAAATTTGCTGACTCAGCTACAGATTAGTCGCTTGCCACTGCCAGAACCAGATATCTTTTCTGGGGATCCACTGCAATACCCTAGTTGGAAACAGGCCTACGACATCTTAATGGAACATCAAGGTATTCCTGCAAGGGATCGATTCTTCTACTTAAAGAAGTATCTACGTGGCCCACCTCTCGAACTCGTGCAAGGATTTTCTCTGATACACAATGATATGGCATACAATCGAGCTACGAGTGAACTAGAACAGAGATATGGTGATCCATTCATCATTTCGAATGCATTTCGTGACCGACTGGATAACTGGCCAAAGATACCTACAAAGGATTCCAGAGGACTGCGTAGATTCTCTGATTACCTACGACAATGCCAAACAGCAATAGAAAAGATCGGCAACCTCCGACAGTTAGATGACGAACGTGAGAATAGGAAACTCCTATCCAAACTTCCCGATTGGCTTGTTACTAAATGGAGCCGACGAGTCTATGAGCATAGGAGGTCACATGGTACATTTCCTTCATTCGGTACCTTCTCATCATTCATTGAGGAAGAGAGTAACATTGCATGTGACCCAATCACGTCCATTGGTAGCCTGAAGGAGGACAAACCGAAACAGGACAGAGGAAAATCCATGAGAGCGTTAACTATGAGAACCAGCTCCATCCAAGATGAGACAAAGAGGCCAGAACGGAAATCATTCTGTATATTCTGTAGAAATCATCATCACCTTGAGGATTGTCAAGCCTTTGTCAATCAGCCTATGTCCGAGAGGAAGAAGTTCATAAGAGAAAAGGGCTTGTGTTACGGGTGTCTCAAGAGAGGTCATCTGACCAAAAAATGTCGAGTGAGAAGCACATGCAGAGAGTGCAACAAGCGTCATCCTACGCCACTACACTTTGACAGAAGACCTTCAGAAGAAAGGGAAAGGACATCGAACCAGGAAGAAATACAATCTTCAAATTCACATACACTTGTTAATTCTAACGCCACAAGTTATGTGAAAAGCGCGGCAATCGTGCCAGTCTGGCTGTCTCATGAGAATATGAAGGAAGAGAGGCTCGTATACGCACTATTAGATACTCAATCGGATACCACCTTCATATTGAATTCTACAAAGGATGCCTTAGGACTTCATGGACTGAGGGTCAACCTTCTTCTGTCTACAATGTCGACCAAGAACGAAAGGATTCCAAGTGAGAAGATTAAAGGACTCACAGCTCGAGCCTTTAACAGTGAAAAGGTGATACACCTTCCAGCTGCATACACTAGAGACATAATGCCAGCCAACAGAGAACACATCCCCACTCCTGAAGTAGCTCGCTCTTTCCCACATTTGGTTCCAATTGCTGACCAACTTCTGCCTCTGAAGCACTGTGAAATAGGATTGTTGATCGGCTATGATTGTGGAAGAGCTCTGACTCCTCGAGATGTGATTCCCTCCCAAGACGATGACGGTCCATTTGGAATGAAAACTGACTTGGGATGGAGCATAGTGGGTGTTACAAGTCAAGATGAACAGCACTACAACCCCGATGATCACGTTGGCCACAGTCATCGCTTGACAGCACGTGAAATACCCGCTGAACTAGCTGAAAGAGACATGTCCATCAAGAAGAGAGTAACGTTCACTCACAACGTTACAATCAAAGAAGAGATCAGCCCTTCGTCTGTGCTGAAGCTGATGGAAAGAGATTTCTCAAAGAGCAGAAGTGAGGTACCATTTTCGCAACATGATACAAGATTTATGAGAATCATGTCGGAGAATGTCCATATCACAGATGATGGTCATTACGAGACTCCTCTTCCCTTTAAAGAAGATGTCGTCAACCTTCCCAACAACAGATTCATGGCGGAAAGGAGATTGAGTCATCTAAAGAGAAAGTTTCAAAGAGACTCTGAGTATCATCAGAAATACTCGGAAAAGATGGATGCTCTCTTGGAGAAAGGATATGCTGAAAGTGTACCAGAATATGACAAGCAGAACGGCCAAGCATGGTACATTCCCCATCATGGGGTAGTACAACCCAACAAGTTACGAGTTGTGTTTGATTGCAGTGCAGAATTTGGAAAGGAATCTCTCAACAAGCAGCTTCTTTCTGGACCAGATCTGACTAACACACTAGTGGGAGTACTTTGCAGGTTCAGACTGGAACCAATCGCATTTTGTTGCGATATACGTGAGATGTTCTACCAATTCAAGGTGAAGGAAGATCATAGGAAATACCTACGGTATTTGTGGTGGAAGGATGGAGACTTTCTGCAACAGCCCCATGAGCTAAGAATGACTGTCCATTTGTTTGGGGCGACGTCGTCTCCAGGATGCTCAAACTTTTGTTTGAAACAGATTGCCAGCGACCATGCTATTGAATTTGGAGAGGATGTAAAGAACTTTGTACATCATAACTTCTACGTGGACGATGGGCTAATATCTGTTCCTACCAAAGAAGAGGCCAAGAATCTGATCTCGAGAACCAGAGAGATGTGCAAGAAAGGAGGCCTCCACTTGCACAAATTCATCTCAAACACCCAAGAAGTGCTGGAAACAGTTCCGGAAGAGGATAGAGCAAAGGGCACTACCAAGACTAATCTCCTACAGGATAAGCTTCCTTTGCAGAAGGCACTTGGGGTGCAATGGTGTGTGGAATCTGACACGTTCCAATTCAGAGTCACACTCGATGACAGACCTCTAACCAGGCGCGGAATACTGTCAACCGTGATGTCGATCTATGACCCTATGGGATTACTAGCCCCGATTGTCTTACCTGGTAAGCAGATTCTGCAAGAGCTGTGTAAGATGTCTGCTGATTGGGACGACCCCCTGCCAGATCATCTCAGAGAAAGATGGGAGAAATGGACAACTGATCTGCATAATCTTGACTCCCTATCAATACAGAGATGCTACAAACCTGCAGACTTCGGTGAGGTTACGACCATGCAGATGCACCACTTCTCCGATGCTAGTTCCGAGGGATACGGCCAATGCTCATACATGAGAATTAAGAATGGAGAGGGAAGAGTCCACTGTATCCTGGTGATGGCAAAGTCCAGGATTGCCCCGCTCAAGGCAGTAACAATACCCCGTTTGGAACTATCAGCTGCCGTTGTTTCCATTAGGGTGAGCACATTTCTTCAGCGAGAGTTAGCCTTGGAGGACATTGAGCATATCTACT